TCAACCTTCACTGGTCAAGAGGGAGTTTACTCACCAGGAGTTTTCTATACAACTGAAATTACAAGTCTGAATGGAAAATTTCTAATTAATAATTACCCTCTGGTTATCATTATCAACTGAAGCATGAAATACAGAGATATATGGTCAACAAAGGTGTTTACCACTATCCAAGAAGTTATACTGTAAAGAGTGACTATACTAACTATCCAAAGTGTATGAAGACTTGTTTATTGTTCAGATTATGTTAAACAATTAGATGTACAACATAAAAGGCTGATCTATTAGTACACATATCTTGGGCAGATGCTGTCCCTATTATCCCCCAATTAACTAAAATCAAAATTGAATGGGAGGAGAAAAAGAGTCTGGATTGCCTTTAGGATATTATGCAACACTTATAATGATGAGTTTTTCCCTGAAAAAAAATGTATATGTATCTATGTATGTAGACACATATAATAACAGAGGGAAATCTTCATTGTCTGAACCCTTATTCAGTTGGAGAGTAAAAAATATATACTCAGGGAGATCTGGCAGTAGCTAGAGTGGGGTGGAGCACATAAACCGGCCATCGGTCATTGCTTATTCACATTGTAAAATCAGTTCACTTCCTTTTCTATTCATGTCTCTCCCTAGTGACATCCTTTACACCACTTCTGCACAGTTCTTTTGTTATCAATATACCGTAGCATATTCAGGCCCACCAAGCCTTTTGCTAATGCCCTTTGGGTGGCCAACAGCTTTGATTGTTTTTTTACACTCTATCATTCAAAATGGAATTGGAAGAAGAAAGCTCACCCTCCCACATTTGCTAAGCCAAATGTTATACAGAGTAATAGTTATGACAAAGAAAGAATAGCACTGGGCATACCCAGTAATTCACAGGTAACAAAAATCTGAGAAGACTGTCAGTAATCATATTCGTGATCTCAGATATTTATGTAAATGGACATAGTATAAGTAATAAAGTGAACTAGATATCCTAATGTTAGGAGGTATACATTGGGTATACCCAATATAAATTGGGTATACCAGAAACTTTGTGAGATGTTATTCATGACTAGAATATGGCCAAGCCAACGTACCATTTTCAAAAGGAATAGATTAGATAAGTGACACAGAACATATACCTGTGGAGAAGTCCATGGACTTGAAGAGGCAAATATGATGAAAAGCTTTTGGTTAAGGATTGAAGGTTGGAGAAACTAAAGTAATAATGTAGTGTCAGTATGCTACAGACTACCTGACCAGAAGGAAGAAATGAATCATGAGTTCCTGAATGCAGATGACAAAGCTTCATAGAAGCAGAATAGAGGTGCAAGGGAAATTTAAACTCTCTGGAGATCTATCTACTAGAGATCTATCTCTGTTAATAATAGAGTATCTGAATAATAGAGTATCTGATAAATTCTTGATTTATCCTTCTTATAATTTAATCTATCAGAAGTTTAGAGGAGATGATAAGTGAGATATTTTTTGGACCCAATTCTGGAAGAAAAAAAAAAAGAGGAACTGGTGGGTGAAGTGGAAGTTACAAGGACATGAACATTGTGGAGTTTGTGATGGTCAAGAGGTAAATAACTAAGCAAGATGGGGAGAGTTATGAATTCAGTTCTATGAACTTTATTTTAAAAGTTCAAAGAAAGGATGTTGGTAATAAAAAGATGGATCTTTGTTCTGGGAGAAATTTAGGATACACACATATAATACATACATATATATATATAAAACAATATATTTATATACATATATGTAAATATGTGTATAATACAACCAGAAAGATATGATCCATAAATAGGAGCCTCTGAAGGACCTTACTATCAACAGAGAATCTTTTTTCAACTTGGAATTTGTGCTAGGTCTTCTCCATCATGGTGGCTAACATTCTTATAAAATAATAAAAAGCAACAGAGGTCAAGTTTGTAAAAGATTGATGTACCATCTAAGTCACATATTCCTAAGTATATTTATAGAGGAAACTGACAGGAGGACAACAAGTAGATCTAAAATGGGGCCGATGAGTCAGCAATTTTGTAATGGTCTTATTTCACTATTAATGACAATGAAACCACCTCATTTGGATCCTACCCTCCTCAAAAGACTGGTTGAACCAGACAAAGAAAACGTATATTGGAGGCAACTGCATAAGTGTAGAATAGGGAAAATGTGACTAGACAACATTTCATTTGAAAAAGATCTTGGAATTTTATTGACACCCAAGGTCAAAATGAATCAATAGTATTATATAGCAGTCAAAGGGGATAATGTCATCTTAGCCTATATGAATAAATATAATAAATTATAATAAATATATTTATTTTACATAAATCATAATAAATTTTAAAATAATAAATTAATAAATAGAATAAATGCATAGTTTCCAGAATGAAAAGAATGATAGTCTCACTAGATCTTGCTCTGGCCAAACCACATTTAAAGTATTATGTTCCAGTCTAGTGAAGACATTTTTAGAAGCACATTGACAAGCTGTAGCATATCCAAAGTAGGGTAGTCAGAAAACCATACCATATTAGAATTAGTTGAAGGAACTGGGAATTTTTAGCCTGGAAAAGACAGGAGGCACAAGATAACTGTCCTCCAATATCAGAAGGGTTGTTGTGTAAGAATTAGATTTGTGCTGCTTGGCCTCAGAACACATTCCCAGGACCATTTGGGCGAAATTAGTGAGAGGCAGATTTCAGATCAATAAAAGGGGAAAGTTCCTAACAATTAGAACTGTACGAAAGTATAATGGGCTGACTTAATAGGCAGTGGGTTCCCAGAAGGATAGTCACTTGTAAGGACTGTTTTGGGGATTCGTGCTTGAGGTATGGATTGGATTAGCTAATAACAGTAATAACCTATTTATAGAATACTTTGACACTAGTTGTATGACTTTGGGCAAATTTCCTCAACTGCAATATGGAGAAAATTTTACTTCACAAGGTATTGTGTGCGTGTGTGTTTGGTGTGTAAAGGACTTAATTTATAAACTTTAAAATGCCACACAAATGTAAACTATTATTATGGGGCAGCTAGGTGACACAGTGGATACGGCACTGGGCCTGGAATCAGGAAGACTTGAGTTCAAATCTGGCCTCAGACACTAGTTGTGTGACCCTGGGCAAATCATTTAACTCTGCCTGCCTCAGTTTCCTCATCTATAAAATGAGCTACAGAAGGAAATGGCAAACCACTCTAGTATCTTTGTCAAGAAAACCCCAAATGAGTTCACGAAGAGTCAGACACAATTGATTATTATATTACATTCATGATTTATTTTTTTCAAATTTGTTTGGGTCCCAAAATGAGCTCAGCCAATGACATTTACAACTTTGAGCCTGTTTCCTCTGTGAAACAAATGAGTTGGGTAGCAATGTGGTATAGTATAAAGAGTGCTGGATTTGTAGTCAAAGGACCTGGGTTCAGATCTATGCTCTACTACTTACTGTGTGACCTAAAACAAATCGTTTAAACTCTCTGGGACTCATTTTCCTTCTCTGTAAAATGAGAGGGTTAGAATGGAAGACCTTTCTATGTCCCTTTCACTCAAAATCTATGATCCTATGACCAGATAATCAATAAGCTTTCTTCCAGCTCTATCATGTCCTGTGAAAATTGCACTGGGTATCAGATTTATTTTCTATTTCTGTCATTGCTACTAGTAAGCTATACAACCCTAGACAGGTTACTTTACATCTTTGGACTCCTGTTTCCACACCTACGAGGGAGTTATTTTAGATCAGGGGCAGGGAACCTACACCCTGAAGGCCACTAGGTCCTTGGGTGTGGCCTTTTGACTGAGTCCAAGTTTTACAGAACAAATCCTTTTATTAACGGGATTTGTTCTGTGAAGTTTGGATTCAGTCAAAGGGCTGCACTTGAGGACCTAGAGGGCCACATGTGGCCTCGAGTCCCCTGTTCTAGATCTCTTAGATTCCTTCTAGCTCTTACATAGTATGTTTTTACAGGATTAATAAACTCACAGACCTAGAAAATTCTGCAGATACAATTTATCTGGATTTTAACTAGGCATTTGACGTGTCTCACGCTAATCTTGTGCAAAAGATGTGAGCTAGACGATGCTTAAGATGGACTGTCCTTTGCCCTATGAGAACACAAGTATTCTAATTCCGTTCCCAGCACATTTTAGAAAGCTCATGGAGAAGCCATGGCCTTAAATTCATGCTATATATACACAAGGATCAGTTGAAGAACTGTGAACATTTGGACTGGAGAGTACTGGAAGGGCTGCCTTGTGTGTTGAATTCATTCTCAGAAGCCAGGAGGGGAGGTGCAGAGGAGACTGAAAATGAGAGTTATCCTGGAGTGGAATGAATGGGCTGCCTCCTCAGGTCGGGGGTTCTTCCTCACTGGCGATATTCAAGCACATTCGTTCTGACCATTTGTGGGGATTGTTACAGAGGGGGGTACCCTAAGGTGGAGATTCAGCCCTTAATACAGTGCCAAGCACACAGTAGGTGCTTAATAAATGTGTCTTAATGGAGATGGTCCCAATAGCCTCCAAGGTCCCTTCAATTCTGCACTTCTGGTTCCAAATTTTTCTTTTTCCTTTCTTTCCTTTCTCTACCTCATAAGTGTCACCAAACAACAGTCCAGGGTAAGTAGCCTTAAGTTTCTTGTTCCCTAATTTTTACTTTAACCGAAAGGTGCAAAAGCCCACATAAAACAAAACAAAAACAAAAAACGCACTTTACGCACTTTACAATCCGGGATTAAGAAACAAATCTTGTGACATCGTAGACGCGACCCTCCTTAAACCCGGATCTCACGTCGACTACAGTCCCAGCATTCAGCGCTCCCGCCCAGATCCCGTAAAGGAACCCAGAATGCAATGCGCCTGCTCTCCCCGCTTCTCATCTCCCACTAAGTACGGGGGGAACCGTAGTCTCTGAAGCCTTTTCTGCTTCCGGTTTCCGGAAGGAAAAGCGGAGGCTGCCTACTCGTGACGTCTAATGAGTGCGACCCCCGAAGTCCCGTCGTGCATCTCGGTACGCTCTCTCTGGTGTTTGGAACGGAGCTCTGCCCGGGAAACGCTACAGGTGTGACGGCCGCCGCCTGGACTAGCGAGCAGCACAGGGCGCGTCCTCGGCACCATGACGGACCGCTACACCATCCACAGCCAGCTGGAGCATCTGCAGTCCAAATACATCGGCACGGGCCACGCCGACACCACCAAGTGGGAATGGCTGGTGAACCAGCACCGCGACTCGTACTGCTCCTACATGGGCCACTTCGACCTCCTCAACTACTTCGCCATCGCCGAGAACGAGAGCAAGGCGCGCGTGCGCTTCAACCTGATGGAGAAGATGCTGCAGCCCTGCGGGCCCCCGGCCGACAAGCCCGAGGAGAACTGAGCCCCGGGGCCTGCCCGACCCCCTCCCATCCTCGGCTGCAGTCACCGCCCTCCCTCCTGAGAATGAACGGTTCTGTGGTCGGTAACTGGGGGCACCGCGAGCACTGAGCCCCGCCGGACTCGAGCCTGTTTTTTCCCGCGAGGGGAAGAGACTCATGGCCCCCGCACCTCAGGCTGGCCATTGGAGCCGAAGTCTCATACTCTTGCCGAGGGTCTGGGACTGTGGGTCCCTACCAGTGCCGATGCAACGGCTCTGGAGCGGGGGAGGAGGAACTGAGAAGACATACAAGAGTTTTGTGTCGTCCCCCTTCCCCCCCAGTCCCATACTGAAGTTTAACCCATCGTACAGTGCCTTGGCAGAACAGCTGTAATGGATAAAAGCGGGGAGGAGACCTTTAACGACCAAAAAGCCCCTAGGAAACTTAAGGATTTAGAGCTTGAAGAGACTTTCGATCTCACGTAATCCAGGTTGTTTGGTGTTGTTTAACCTGGAGTCTGTGAACTTTGTGTTTAAAGTAAATTTGATATCTGTATTTAAATATAATTGGTTTCCTTTGTCATCTTAATGTATTTTGTGCATTTGAAAACACTGAGAATGGGTCCATAAACTTCACCTGGGCTGCCAAAGTGGTCCCTGTCTCCGAAACGGTCAAGAACTCCTCATTAATCCATCGGACTCATTTTAGTTTGAGAAACTCAGTCTTAGAGAAGAAGTCACATGGCCAAGGTAGAACCACCATTTCAATCAAGATCTTACTCCAATTCGTTGCTTTTTTTTACTGCCCTATGCCGCTTTCAAGCAGCAGTTTTAAATTCCTAATTATATCTCATTACCCTTAAGTCTTCCTGCTACTTTTTATTTAACCTACTCTGAATCTTACTTGCTGCTCTCCTTGGGGTGCTGGCTTTCTGTCTCAGTGTTTACAGGATAGTTGGCATATAACTTGGCACATGTTAGATGATGATAATGGAGGCGAATGGAATAGTAAATAGCCAACCTCGGTAAGAAAAACTAGGGTTTGAATCCTGCTTCGGCTCATGGTGGCCGTCAAAAAAGCCATTATGAGCTGAGACAGGACTCAACCCAAGTAATGTCATTTAATATCTTATGGCCACTCTGTTAGTGGCTTAGGCTACTCTTTAAGACTCTTGATGATCTGTATTAGTAGAAGATTCTTTAATGGGTGTAACCTACAGAAATGAGTATGTATAGCAGTGCAATAGCAGAGGTCCCACTGGAAGAGTTTGGCTATAAATCATCTCAGCAAACATTAAATACCTGTACTTAGTAGATCCAAACTCTTGGGCCCTGACCTAAAGGGGCTTAAAATCTGGTTACCTTATATGTTAGGCAAAGATAAATTTTTTAAAATGAGTGACAGTGATCTTGTTGGAACTCGGGAGAAAGTGATCAAGTCATGGGGAGTGAGTTTTGGACTGGACTCTGGCAGGTTCATAGCCTGTCTTTAGCATTTTAAGCCCCAAGAAGGAGAAAAGGGGTGGGGTGGTAGTAAAAATTGGAAAACAATTGTGGAATTTTCAGAATACAAGTAAATTAGAAAGCAACCTCTCACAAAAGAGCATAATCAGCACTCAAGGTTTTTTGTACAAGAAACTAAGGAGGAATGAGAATGAGCGTGTCTTTTAAGTGGATTCAGTTATAGCTTTGCTTTTACAGGAAAAAAATTCTTTATTGGATTAAAACAAGCAAAAAATGTTTACAACTGAATCTTATTTAAGCTTGGAAAAGTGAATAGAAATTGAAATGTAAATTACTCAGTTGGATCAGTGGGTTTTTTGGTTAGTATAAGATAGCTTTTAGAAGCTTCTAGTCATGGAAGATAGAGGGAAGGCCTTGGAGCAGGGACTACTTGGATTTAAGTTCTGCCCCTGACATCCTGACTATGTGATCAAGAGCAAGTTATATAATCTCTTAGTGTCTTGGGCTTTTCTTTAAATTGGTGAATCATAAAAGGATTTGCTAATTTTGCATAAGTAGAAGTTCTTACACACCCTTTATTCTCTCAAATACCTGAAAGAAATATGATCTTCCAATAGTAATACTCTATTGGGATGCATTCTAAAAATCCATCCCTGACATCATGGAAAAATGGATTGCCACAAGATTAAAAATTATGTACATATACGACCTTTGGCTGCTAGGTGGTACAGTGGATAGAGCTCTGGCCCTGGAGTCAGGAGGATTTGAATTCAAATTGGGTCTCAGACAGTTAAAAGTTGTGTGACCCTGGGCAAGTTACTTAATCCTGTTTGCCTCAGTTCCTCATTTGTAAAATGAACTGGAGAAGGAAATGACAAAACACTACAGTATCTTTGCCAAGAAAACCCGGAATCGGGTGTTGTCGAGTCAGACACAACTGAAACAACAACAACAACAAAATATTACCTTTGTTGTCTGTCTCACTTAGACTACATAGTGGGAGACCTAGCAACTCGTGGCCAAGTAATTTTTTCATTCCTATTTGTGTTGAAATTTTTATTTCAGTATCTCATTGGATGAGTGATCCCATTGAAATGAGTATTCCCTCCAACAGTTCAGATTAAAAACTAGCCAATCCTCAAAATGGGATCCACTCACCATGCTGGGTGACTTCCTCAGAGTTGCTAGACGAGTCTACCGATGCAACATATGGGCTCTCTAACTGTTAATCCTTACTCTGGCTATATAACTGCCCATCATTTCTGTCACAATTACTTCAGCCAAAAGTATCTAGGGGAGACTTTTTTTCCTCTCTGTTCCTAACCTCGATCATCATTCTCAGATGGTAACAAAAGGAAAGGAAGCTCCTTGTGTTGAGCAGAACTTGTTACAAAATATGCTTCTTTAAAATTTGCCCTTTCTAACTTCCCTAATAATAGCAGCTGAAATTTATATAGGGCTTAAAGGTTTATGAAGTGCTTTTGAGCCTCACAACAACCCTGTGAAACAAATTAAACGGGGGCTGTGATTTTTATCAATGTGAGTAGCAGTTCTACCCAAGTGGTTGGAGTACCACTCTAAGACTCCAAGTTGCAGACCCATTGCTGATCTGCATTGTTAGAGAAAGTTTATTCATTGGGAATTCTCTGTACAAATGAATTCACAGATCCTGACAAATGTGTATATATGCACACATGCACATATATAATATTTGGATAGTAGTGCAATAATGGGGCTCATTTTCTCCCCCCCCCATCTTGACTTAAGGAGAGTTTTACTCTCAATCATTCCCACAGAAAACATGTCTGACAATTTGTAGTGTTACAGAGTTGTCTGGATCACTGAGAGGTACTTGCCCAAAGTTACACTGCCAATGTTACAGAGATTGGACTTGAACTCAAGTCTTTCCAACTTTAAACTAGTCTCGCTATGCCATGCTGCCTCCTCTGAGGCAAATAGTACAGGTATTCTCTCCTTTCTACAGATAAGGAAAGTTCAAATGGGATCATTTTCAAAAAGCTCTATTAATGTTCATGTTACTGCCCAAAGTCACACAGAAGTGTCAGGGAGGATTGAAACCCAAGTATTTTCTGAGTCCCAGTCACCACACTCCACTGTACCACACTATTTCCATCTTCATAGCTTCCCAAGCTCAATAATTTAAAGACGTATTTTGTTCTTCCCTCTCCTCGACTTTTATATCTGAACAGCCAAGTCTTATGAATTGTACCTTTCTCAATTTCGCCACTAAATCCCTAACTTCCCAATGCTACCACTTTGGTTCAAGCCCTTATTATGTCTTAACTTGACTTTTGTAATAGCCTCCTAATTGGTTTCTGTCCCCTAGTCTCTTGCCCTGAGCAGTACCACCTTCACATGAAACCATCTTCCTAATGTGCAGTTCTGAACATTCCACCTTCTTGTCAGAGTATCAATAACTACCTTTTGTCAATATGGTAAAATACAAAATTTGACATTTAAGGACCTGCACAATCTGTTTTCTATCTATATTTTCTACCTTGCCTCTACTTCACTTTATATAAGGTCTGTACTAACCAAACACCTCATAGCTATTGCCTAGTCATGCCTTGACTTCTTCTACCTTTGTGCTCTGGGTACACTTAACACATGTTGCTGTGACCTCCATACCTGAAATGGACTCCCTTCATATCTCTGTTGAAATTCTTCAAGTCTTAACCCAGGTACCATTCCTCTCTGAAACTTTTTTTTTAAAATTCGTGAGGCAATTGGGGTTAAGTGACTTGCCCAGGGTCACACAGCTAGTAAGTGTCAAGTGTCTGAGACATGAGTTTGAACTCAGGTCCTCCTGACTCCAAGGCTGGAGCTCTATACACTGTGCCACATAGCTGCTCCTCTATTAAACTTTTCTCTTGCTGTCACATTAACATAATCTTTCTGTCCCCAAATCTCCCATCTCTCTTTTGTATTCTTCCTGTGCATGTACGACATCTTAAGTTGTATTTAGTAAATTACAAAATCCTTGAGACTAGGGATTGTGACATCTTTGTATCCTGAGTAACTGGTACTTTATCCATCACATGGTAGGTGTTGAAAAATGTTTGTTGAATTGAATGAAAATGGCTATAACTTTTTCATTCACTTTCAAGTCACAGAATTACATAATTTGAGAGTTGAGACTTCAGGTATCTAGTCCAACTGGGATACCACGTATAGATCTAAAAGTAGGGCATCATATCAAGAGATACATTAGAGGCAAAGCATTTTCTCTATAAAAGTAGACTTGAGATGACCCAGGTTGTATTGCTGCTTTATCCCAAAACTTCATACAGATATTAATTATTACATGGAATGAAAAAGCATTGACAACATGTTGGCATTTACAAAGGGACTAAGAACTTTTTATTTAGAAATATTCGGGCCCAGGAGGCCCTTCAGCAACCATGTTCCTTGTAGTCACTGTCCTTCCAAGATTTAGTTAGTTGTGCTACATCCCTCAATGAACCATGACTAAAATGCCCATAATCTATGACTGAGAGATCAAACTACTGAACATATGCACCAAAGAAAGTGAAGACAGAAAAGTCTCATA